ACTGGAGCATAGATTTCGTTCTTGTTGTAGTCTTTCCCCTCCACCTGAGTGTAGCCCTTGGCTACGAGCCTTGCTTTGAACCTTTCCAGCTGCCCCATATCTCCGGTCTTGATCTTAAAAATCCACTTCACCCCCACGGCTTTCCTTCCTTCTGGCATAGGCACGAGCTCCCATGTGCCCCTTTCAGCCAATGTGTTCAACTCCTCCTCAATTGCCGCTTTCCACTGCTCCCTTTCTGGACCCTCTAGCGCCTCCTCGATGCTCACTGGTTCTTTGGGCAGGTTGTGTGTCACTTTTCCTTCATTGGAGACTAGGTCAGTAGCTGTGGCAGAGAGTAGGAGGTGGGTATGGATGTCCTTCCAGCACGTCATCAGCAGTTGCGCATACCGAGGGTTTGGTTTCTTCACCCTCTTTCCTTTCCCCAACTCCTCTGCAGGTGACTCGACCTCATCCTCACTGGAATCCGCCAGTGCTTTCCCTTCTCCATTCTTCACTTCCCTTCCAATCACGATGGCGCCCTCCTCAAGTAATTCCTCTATCTCCCTCATCTTGGCATTGTTGTCATCACTGTTTAGAAGCTTCCAAGGATCACTATCTCCTTCAGCTGCTGATTCTTCATCTCCCTCTTCTTCAGCCACTTCATCAATGCCATCCTCAGCTACTTCTTTGCTTGGCTGCTCCCCTGCTATCTCCACTACCTTGCTTTCATCCGCTTCCCTGGTTGGTGCCTTCTCCCACACCCAATCAACTGAATCTGCCCGTTCCACATCTTCGAGTTCCTCATCTCCTTCATCACCAACTCCCTCACTCTCCTTTTCTTCCAAAAGATCGTCCACCTTGTCCGGTGCAATTGCTGTCCCTGCTGCTGCAATCTCTTTCTCTACTCCCTTCCACTGCAGGTAGTTCACCTCCTCGTAGAAGACAACATCCCGGGTGATCATGACCTTCCCTGAAATTACATCCTTGATCACCCACCCCTTGCTCACCGGGCAGGTACCGATGTTAATCCCCCAATGAGCCTTGGGCAGCAACTTATGATCCGGACCGGCTGGCTCCCTGTATTGCACCATACTTCCCCACACCCGAGCGAACCCCAGATTCGGCTTCCTGCCATACAAGGCCTCGTGGGGAGTCATATCTGCCCGAAGTCCCTTGGTAGGTAGCCGGTTCTTGGACCAGCACGCCATAGCTAATGCATCACCCCAAAATTTCAGCGGCAACCCACTGTCGGCCAGCATGCTCCTCACGCTGTCTAGTAGAGACCGATTCACTCGCTCCGCTATGCTGTTATGCTGTGGAGTGTAGGGTACAGTCAGCTGCCGTCGGATACCCTTGCTCTGTAAAAACTTGTTGAACAGCTCACCGGTAAACTCCCCTCCATTATCTGTCCTTAAGACTTTCAGCACCTTCCCACTTTGCCGTTCCGCTTCCGCCATCCAAGTCACGAAGCTAGGAAACACTTCTGCCTTATCTTTCAGCTCCGTCACCCATGTGTGCCTCGTTCCCAAATCAGTGAAGGTAACGAAGTAGCGGCTGCCGTGTCGTGACGCCACCCTCATAGGCCCACACACATCGGCTGCTACGATGTCCAAGGTGCCATAAGGCTCATGTACCTGGTGGTGGGGGTGAGGGGACTTTGTGATTTTACCTTCAACACACTTGCTGCATTTTCCCTTGCTTCCAGCCCCCTCCTTCAGTGCCACACCTTTTACCATGCCCTTTTTGACCAACTCCTTGACCCTATCCATGCTTGCATGCCCCATGCGCCTGTGCAAGGTCTCCAATTCCACCTGCTCCATCCCAACCACCATGGCAGGAGCTGCAGCTTCCTGCTGCAGCTCCTTCACAGGTAAGCCACCAAGCCGAGCCTTCAACTCCTCCCTAGCTAGGTCCCCTTCGAGTGATGTCAGGTAGGTGGCATTCTCATCCTCCAGCCCCTTCTTCCTCAGCTTCATTTCATACAACCCCTGATTTCTGTTCCCTTCTGCAACCACCTTCCAATCCTCATTGAAAACCCACAACTTTCTTTTGTCGCTGAAGGTTTTGCACCCCGTGCTGTCAAGTTGAGACTGGCTGATCAGATTCAGTGAGAGCTTCTCCACTAAGAGAACATTTTCCAGCTTCAGCTCCCCGTACTCTCCTTGGAGTAGCAACTCTCCTTCCCCCTTCACAATCAGCTTCCCTTCATCCCCCAAGAGCACATACGGTACGTTGGAGTCCCTCAGATTTGTAAGCCACTCGCAGTGATTGGTCATGTGCTGAGTGCACCCACTGTCCATGAACCACGCTGCTTCACCGAACCCCTTTGCCACCAAACACACCCCCGATGCCCTTGCCACGTTTGCCTTGTGAGCTCCTCCCAAGATGACGTCCGCTTCACTGTTTTCAGCTTCCACTGCATTTGCTTTTGCTGCTGCTGGTTTGATTTGCTGCTGGTTTGCTCCTTGGTAGTTCCTGCTGTTGGGGTTCGAGTAGCAGTTGGCTGCCCTATGCCCAATTTTCTGGCAATAGTGACATGCCCCTGAAAATCCGCCTCTCTGCATCTTGTTATCACCTCGAACCTCCCCCTCTCTCTGCTGCCATCCGTTCTGCAGCCCCTTCTGCTGCGGACCGCTCCATTTCCCCTTGAAATTTCTGCTCCTTGGGTTATCATAGCAGTCTATCTGCTTATGACCCTTCTTTCCACACTGAAAACACGCCCCGAAACCTCCATATCCTTTCCCTGTTGCTGCTGCGTTTACCATAGCATGTGTGGCTGGTCCCATTCCATTCAAGCTAACCTCCTTCCTGAGCCGATCAGCTTTCACCCGCTCCAGAGCTTGGAGCGTCTCCAACAGCTTGGTCATATTTGCGGGTGGGTTGCAGGTTAGGAGCCCTATCTCTGCTTCCCACTCCTTGGGCAGCCCACTAATGATGTACCCCATCATTTCTCCTTCAGTTTCAGCTGCCCCCATAGCCTTGAGGTCGTCATTGTACCCCTTTGCTCGATTTATGTAGTCAATGACCCTCTCCCTCGGCTCCATATTCAATAGGAGAAGTTTCTTCCGAATGGCGGCTTTGTTGGTATCCGTAAGTCCAAGGTAAGCAGCTTCCATGTACTCCCAGGCTCGTTCGGCAGAGTTCTCCTCTCCAGCAAATTGATCCAGCCCCACTGCAATGCTGTCCGAAACTGAATGACACAATTGGAAAAAAGCTTGCTTACTCCTTTTTTTGAATGACGCATTTTCTTCTGGTTTTTCTTTTGCAGATGGTGGGACGCCCTCTCCCGTTTCCTTGTCGGGATGATAATACGGCCAGAGATTCACTTCCTCCGCTCTACGAATGAACTTGAGTCGCCACGTGCTATAATTTTCTCCATGGAATCGTTGGGCCTCGCTAAGCCCAATCGTTGGCTTCGCCGTCAATTTAGCTTGTGCTAGCGCTGTTAGGATGGCCTGTAGTTCTGAGCCTCCAATGCTCACAGAGGAGCCCGAACTCGCCTCAGTATGATCGCCCGTCATACTTAGTAAATTCCGCCTATCCTTAAAACGCTAGAACACGCCTTAAACCAGCTCTGATACCAGCTCTTGTACATGCGCAGCCTTTATTCTAGACTATGAAGACTATTTAGAGTCTTAGTAACAAGCATATGAAGCTCTGGCCCCAACTGTGTGAAGGAATTTGCTGGAAAACGCCAAGGCAGAAAGTTCAAGTAATTTCATTGAAGAAGGCATGCAAAAACAGAAAACACAAAGCAAGTTATAAGCAAAAGGATTTCTGATTTCGCCCTCGCGCCGCGCCTAATTTCGAGCTGAGTTGTACTCGGCTCAATTTCCAAATCCAACCATGCACCGAACGCGCCTCGAGTTCGAATCAGACTTCCTTGGACGCGCCTTTGACCCGGCGTGACTTCTCTTCACGTCGCTTGGAATCTCGACATTTCAGCTGTTTTCTTCTCCATTTCTGCACACTTCCCCTCCTTCTCTTCGATTCCCACTGCAGGTCGCGCCGCTACCGTGTTTCTCCTTCCACCGTCCCAACATAGGTAGCTCCTCTTCTTCTTAGGTCCTCGCTTTCCCTTAGTCACAGCTCGTCAAACCGAATTCTTCTTAGGTCGATGTAGATCGCGTTAGGTCGTTCTAGGTCATGGTTAGCCAACCACCTTCAACACTCTTCCTCGCCTAGAAGCAGCGCTGAATGCGGCAGGCCGATGAGAGGCGACGCCGCGGCGCCTCCGCTTCCGCCTCCTCTTCCGCCTCCGCTTCCACCTCCCCTCCTCTTCCTCGCCTAGAAGCAGCGCTGCCGTTGCCTTCCCCGCCAGTCGCGCGATCCTCGACGTCCGCGAATGAGCTCGCAGACGTCGCCGCCGCCATCGCTAGAGGCAGCGAAAGGACGCGACGACTGTCGTCTGGAGTGGTGGAGGCAGCACAACGAGTAACCGCGGGCCAGGAGAGAGCGGGAGAGGAAGGGGTAACCACAGGGGTGTTCAAGCACGAGTTCTGGCAGCAGTGTGAGTTCAGGGGTGTTCAACTGTAGCAGCAGCAGCACCTCCAGTGCTCGTCACAATGGATCTAATTCGCCACAATTATGATTATCCATCGCTCCTCTTCACTGTCTGTTGATTCTTGCAGATTGGAGTTGTGCTTTCAGTCGAGCAGGTAAGACGGGCCACGTTCACACAGCCATAGCGCACTGGACCAACATCGCTGCTGCTACAGTGGCCTGCTGCATACACGCGCACACGGTCATAAAGATCGAAGAATGCATTTTGTGCGATTTCAACCATTGCATTTTATCGCTGCCAGCGATTCCGTGCGCAGTGAAACTCGGGGCGATATAATGGAACAGTGGAACATTGTAAAGGGACCCTTTCCTCTCCCTTTACCTCCCTCACCTTCTCCTCTTCCTTTACCTCCCCCGCCCTCTCCTTACCTGTTCTCTTTCCACCTTACCCATTCCCGCTCCCATTACCCCCTCCTTTTACCCGTACCCCCTTGCTCACCGCAACACCAGGCCCACACATGTCGCCCTGCCATTCTCTCTCTCTGTCCCCCTCCCTTGCTCTTTATCCTTCTCCGCCTCCCTTGCTCTCTCTCTCTCTGCCCCCCTCCCCTGCTCTTTATCCTTCTTCGCCTCCCTTGCTCTCTCTCTATCTCTGTCCCCCTCCCCTGCTCTTTATCCTTCTCTGCCTCCCTTGCTCTCTCTCTCTCTCTGTCCCCCTCCCTTGCTCTTTATCCTTCTCCGCCTCCCTTGCTCTCTCTCTATCTCTGTCCCCCTCCCTTGCTCTTTATCCTTCTCCGCCTCCCTTGCTCTCTCTATCTCTGTCCCCCTCCCCTGCTCTTTTTCCTTCTCCGCCTCCCTTGCTCTCTCTCGCTGTCCCCCTCCCTTGCTCTCTCTCGCTGTCCCCCTCCCCTGCTCTCTATCCTTCTCCGCCTCCCTTGCTCTCTCTCTCTCTCTCTGTCCCCCTCCCCTGCTCTTTATCCTTCTCCGCCTCCCTTGCTCTCTCTCTCTCTCTCTCTCTCTCTCTCTCTCTCTCTCTCTCTCTCTCTCTCTCTCTCTCTCTCTCTGTCCCCCTCCCTTGCTCTTTATCCTTCTCCGCCTCCCTTGCTTTCTCTCTCTCTCTGTCCCCCTCCTCTGCTCTTTATCCTTCTCCGCCTCCCTTGCTCTCTCTCTATCTCTGTCCCCCTCCCCTGCTCTTTAGCCTTCTCCGCCTCCCTTGCTCTCTCTATCTCTGTCCCCCTCCCCTGCTCTTTATCCTTCTCCGCCTCCCTTGCTCTCTCTCTGTCCCCCTCCCAAGATCTGCACCATGAGCTCTTTCTCACTCTCATTTTCTTACCCTTGCGCTCTCTCTCTCTCTCTCTTTATCATGTCGGTTGATCATGCAGTGGGGCGACTGTTCCATCACCGCACTTGGCGTCATCCCTTGTGACAGTCCAGCACCCTCCAGATTCGTCAAGGTATTCCAACCCGTTTGCGCTCCTCCTCAACCCCTTTCTCTCTGCCCCATCTGCAATCACACTGCCCCATTTGCAAGAACGCTGCCCCATCTGCAATCACACTGCCCCATCTGCAATCACGCTGCCCCATCTGCAATTACGCTGCCCCATCTGCAACCACACTGCCCCATCTGCAACCACGCTGCCCCATCTGCAATCACTCTGCCCCATCAGCATTCTCTCTGACCCATCTGCAACCACTCTGGAATCTCTGCATTTTTAGTCCACCAGTCTGCATTCTCTCTGCCCCATTCGCTCCCTCTCTGCCCAAACCTCCCTTCCTCTGCCCCATCCCCTTTCTCTCTGCCCATTCCTTGCATTCTCAGCCCCATCGGCTTTATCTCTGCCCAATCCCCGCCCTCTCTGCCCCATCTTCTCCCCCCAACTTTAGATGAACTACCTCTGCCCCAACTGCAAGCGATTCTCCTTTTTGGCCCGGGCTGGCATGGAGAGTCACATGCGCGGTTCAACCTGCCCTGTCAACATTGCCATGTCGCATCAACCCTACCACAAGCAGCCATAGCTTGCACAAGCGGCCCCGCCACCAACCCATGGCCCCCAATCCCATTCCCCACGCACTCGCTTCGACTTCTGTCCCTCCCACAACATCGCCGCAAGGTGTTTCAGTTTTTCCTCAAGCTATGGAATGCACGGTCGGGGATGTTCCGCAAGTCGACAATACGAACAGCAGTGCATCTACCACGTGCAGTTCTAGTGATGCTGAAAATGTGAGCCTGCCTTGTGATGCGGATGATTATGTTGCGCATGATGACCACCCCGGAGTGGTCGGAGAGGGTGAGCAAGTTGAGTCATCATCCGAACCACCTTTCAATGGCAAGGACGCACTTGCCCATTGGTTGTTGGCGAACAACATATCCCAAAAGGTAATCAAGGCATTGTTTGACATACTCTTCCACCAAGCATTTCAACTCTCGCAGATGGTTGGATGGAAGTCGGCGCGGGATGTCCAACAATACCTTGAATCCCGTGCGCCCGATAAGCATCGAGGTTGGAGACGCAAGACCGTGCGCGCGCGAAACAAGGCCTGGGTCGAGTATTGGTATTGTGATGGCATTGTTGCGTTGCAAGACCTGCTGAAACACCCGAAACTGGCTTCCAAGATGACCATGGAATCACGTGTCGTTATGGACGGGGACACGCGGGTGTTTTCTACTCCAGAAACGGCTTTGTGGTGGGAGACACTCGAAGGGAAGATACGAGAAGTCAACCCGGAGGGTGTGGTGGTCGCACTCATTCTTGCAAGTGACGAGACACATATGGATCAGAGAGGGAAGGCTAAGGGTCATCCTGTGTATCTCACACTTGGGAATATTGACAAAGACGATAGGTGGAAGCCGTATGGGCATGTTTTGCTTGCTTTGCTCCCTGAATACCCCCAAGAATATGACTCTCTAGATAAGACACAAGTGTTTCATTATATTATGAATGAGGTGATGGCGGGGTTGAAGCGTGCATCCCATACCGGTGTAAATATGGTGGATGCGGAGGGCAAGGTTATCAATGTTTGGCCATCCATGTATGCCCATGTTACCGATTACCCCGAGTCGTGCAAAGTAACAGGCACAAAGTCGGGTACGACGTCGTTTCCTTGCTCGCTATGCAAGGTGCCAAAGGAGAAGCCCTCGAAGCTTACCGACCGCATCGAAGCACACACGCCATCGGAGCAACGTGCCGTTGTCACTCTGGTTGCTACACAGACCATCAAGGACGACTCCGATGAGTCACTATCGACCCACCCTGTACAGGTATGGTATACTAATGGTGATGGCCCGTTTGTATGATGAACGATGCCTAACTATCCTGATATTGTCTCTTGCAGAGCTACCTATGGGGATGGCGATGGGAGGCGGAGAGTTTGCTAAACCCTTACCTTGCCGTGCTTCCCGATATCATGCACCAAGCAGACCTGGGCATTTTTGAGCACATAGTTGATAGCATACGCGCGCACATTAAGGAGTTCTTTCCCAGAAAGATGAAGTTGCTAGATCAGCGGCTAAAAGAGATTAGAAAGTCATTGAGGGGGGGGTGCATGAGGTTGCCGTCGGGAGAATACTTTGCAAAGGGGGCAAACTACCAAGCCTACGAGCATCGTTCAGTGATGCAAGTTCTACCTTTCATAGCGAAGGGGTGCATTAACGACGATCAGATGAAGGCGTTGGTCTCATACATCGAGTGGTATTTGGAGTGTGCACGAGCGGGCGAGCACAGCGAGAAGAGTCTGCCCGACCTGAAGACCAAGGCACACCGGTGAGTGGGGTTCTCTGCAATGCATGACACGTCTTTTTCATTCACCCTCCGTGCAAATCTGATCCATTCACTTCACTCTTCTTGTGTAGGATGATACACGGCTTGAGGACGCATTTCAAGCAGGCATCCGATTGGAACTTCATCAAAATGCACCTGATTAGTCACTTCGTAGACTCGATCCGTCGTGCAGGATTGCCAGAGCACTACTCCGCCCAACTCTACGAGCACTTGCCCATAAAGTTCATCAAAGCACCATATCGCGCATCCAACAAGCGCTCAGTGAACGCACAGGTTGTACAGAGCGAGGAGCAGCGCTTGCGATTGCAAGCAATCGCACCCATGCTCGGAGCGAAGAAGGCGTACGACATAGCGATGGTCAAGGTGCGAGTCTAGTAGTTATTTTGTCTTGTCATTTGCATCCATCGTTCGTTAACACGGTCTAACGTGGTGGTTGAATTCCAAATTCCCCTCGCAGGCACAAAGGACGGGCGTGCGAGTGCTCTCGCGTCGATCCTGGCTCCTCCACGTTCCCCGCGGCAAAGAGGCAGCACCGTTCTGCATCCCGAATGCGCCACAGGCGAATCGTGATGCGATGCTCGAGAAGGAGATTGGTGCTGATCTAAAACAACTGCGGACGGCGTTGAACGCAGCCCTTGGGTGCAACAACAAGGGGGAGGACATCGCGAGCATTCAGGTATGTTACGTTCATCATTACTACTAGCGACGAGTCACCATGTCAGTTCGCCAATGTTAGATGCATATGGTTGTGATACGTACACATTGTATTGTGTCTTGGTGTCAGGTGCATTGGGAAATGGCCATGCCAGCGGCGGTCGATGCACAGTACAGCCGGTTGCCGCATCGAGTGCGTGCCCTGCCGAGACACCATGGGCAGCCATGGTATTCGGACGTGGCTGTGAAGGGGGAGACAGAGGCCGGCCACGAGGAGTGGTATGCAAAGGTCCTACTGCTGTTTCACTGCAAGGTGGATGGGAAGACAAAGAAGTACGCATACATCAAGTACTATGACGTACTACCCGCATTAGATAGCGACACACAGTGCAAGCGCCTGAAGTGGCCCCCACTAGCAGCTAGGTATCAAGTGATTGAGATACATAGCATCAAGCGGGCTGTGCATCTAATTCAGATTGATAGGGATGTAGATATGTGGCTAGTGAACCGTTTCGCATGGTGATGCGCAGCCCGACGCTGTGAATGAGACAAAACTTGTCCAGCATTCTCATCTGTATTGAAACATGTCATCGTTTCATCGTGTCTCTGTTTTATTTTCCTCTATCTCTTCACGCAGTTCCCTACTACATCCAACACCCTAGCCGTAGGAACTAGTTTGAGCTCGCTCGCCCAATTATGCATCTCCTGGCGCTTGTTTGTGCGGTCCCCACGATCCCGCTGTGCAATGATATGCCTGTACGCAGCATGTGGCGCATGTTTGTACGTTTGCTGACCTGAATCTGTGCAAAGATAGGCCTGTGCGCAGCATGTGGTGCTTGTTGGTGCGTTTGCAAACCTGAATCTGTGCAGGGATAGGCCTGTGCGCAACATGTAACTGCGCCAACGTCTGGATGCTTTTTTTACCATTATATCTTCATACAGTTCCCTACAGAGTCACATTACCTAGCCATAGGAACTGGTTTCATCTCGTTAGCACAACTATGCTTCTCGTGGCGCATGTTGGTATGTTTGCTAACCTGAATCTGTACAAGGATCGGCTTGTGCGCAACATGTAACTGCGCCAACGTCTATATGATTTTTATACCATTATATCTTCATACAATTCCCTAGTACATCACATTACCTAGCCATAGGAACTGCTTTCCTCTTGTTAGCACAACTATGCATCTCGTGGCGCATGTTTGTGTGTTTGCTAAACTGAATCAGTACAATGCTCGGCTTGTGCGCAACATGTATCTGCACCAACGTCTGGATGCTTTTTTAAACACTATTTCTTCATACAGTTCCTTAGAACATCCTATTTCCGAGCCATAGGAACTGGTTTGACCTCGTTCGCACAACTACGCAGCACGTGGCGCTTGTTTGTGCATTTGCTGGCCGGAAACGGTGCAAGGATAGGCCTGTGCGCAACATGTCACTGTTTCAACGTCTGGGTGTTGCTTTTACATCAATTTATTCACACAGTTCCCTATAACATACTATTTCCTAGCCATATGAACTGGTTTGACCTCGTTTGCACAACTACGCAGCACGTGGCGCTTGTTTGTGCATTTGCTGGCCGGAAACGGTGCAAGGATAGGCCTGTGCGCAACATGTCACTGTTTCAACGTGTGGGTGTTGTTTTTACCTCAATTTCTTCACACAGTTCCCTATATTATACAACTTCCTAGCCATATGAAATGGTCTGACCTCGTTCGCACAATACGCAGCACGTGGCGCTTGTTTGTGCATTTGCTGGCCTGAAACGGTGCAAGGATAGGCCTGTGCGCAACATGTTACTGTTTCAACGTCTGGATGTTGTTTTTACCTCTATTTCTTCACACAGTTCCCTATAATATACTATTTCCTAGCCATATGAACTGGTTTGAACTCGTTCGCACAACTACGCAGCACGTGGCGCTTGTTTGTGCATTTGCTGGCCGGAAACGGTGCAAGGATAGGCCTGTGCGCAACATGTCACTGTTTCAACGTCTGGGTGTTGATTTTACCTCAATTTATTCACACAGTTCCCTATAATATACAATCTCCTAGCCATATGAACTGGTTTGACCTCGTTCTCACAACTACGCAGCACGTGGCGCTTGTTTGTGCATTTGCTGGCCGGAAACGGTGCAAGGATAGGCCTGTGCGCAACATGTCACTGTTTCAACGTGTGGGTGTTGTTTTTACCTCAATTTCTTCACACAGTTCCCTATAATATCCTATTTCCTAGCCATATGAAATGG